CCTGAGCCTGGCTTTTGTGAGAACGGCTCTGTCTTTGAAGTAAATACAGCCCGGCTGGCGTGGCTCAGGGGTTGAGTGTCGACCTATGAGCCAGGAGGTCAGGGTTCGATTCCCGGTCAAGGGCACAGGCCCGGGTTGTGGGCTCCATCCCCAGTGCAGGCTCCATAGTGCAGGAGGCAGCCGATCCATGGTTCTCTCTCATCATTGATGTTTCTATCTCTCTCTCCCTCTCCCTTCCTCTCTGAAATCAATACAAATATATTTTAAAAAATAAAGTAGCCCTAGCCGGTTTGGCTCAGTGGATAGAGCATCAGCCTATGGAACAAAGAGTCCTGGGTTCGATTCCGGTCAAGGGCAGGTTACCTTGGTTGCAGGCTCCTCCCCAGCCCAGGCCCTGGTCGGGGCTCACACAGGAGGCAACCAATCGATATGTTTCTCTCACATCGATATTTCTGCCTTTCCTCTCTCTTCCACTCTCCCTAAAAATCAATGGGAAAATATCCTCAGGCGAGGAGTAACAAAAAAAAATAAAAATAAAGTAAATGCTAGTTCTTTTTTCCAACATGGTTCTATCAGCAGGGCAGCAACTAGCCAGGCTGCAAATGGGAGGAAAAAACCCACTTTCTCTCCAAATGTCTTTTTAATAAGCATGGCTGGAGACTCTGTGAGCGTGGAAACGGTCCCCGGGATGTCCCCATCACTTAGATGCCACTGGGCCTCAGCGCAGAGCTGAGCTGGGGGCGGGGGGAGGGGTTAGAAAGCCACATTCCTGGTTTCCTTGGGCCTCTCTCAGGGGGAAGCCGTAAGCTCAGGGCCAAATGAGTCACTTGTAGTCACGTAAGCAAAGGTGATACTAAACATGTTTAAGTCTCCCCGGTACCTATCAGGCACCTTCCATATGCCAGGCGTGACTTTAAGTGCTTTATGTCCATCAACTAATTTAATTGTCCCAACCCATTTTATAGACGGGCAAAGTGAGGCTCCTGGAGTCACTGCCCCAGGCCACTGGACACAGCCAGGTTTCCGCCCAGGCAGGCCGGCTCCACCAGCAACCACAGCGCAGTCTCTGCTGTTGAACCCACAGCTTCGTCAAATGCCCACTGTGAGCAGGGCACACCGGGAAGTGCTGGGGCTGGGCGGGGGGAGGGCGAACATCCAACATAACTACAAGGGCAAAGTATTCCTAAGTAACGTTTTAAGATAAAGGTAAATTAATTTCGATCTCTGACGGGCTTTTGAATTCTTGCCAAGGGGAGGTGTGCTGAATAAATATAGCACTTTTGAAAGTCGTATATGGGTGCTCACTGTACCGTTCTTTCGATTTTTCTGTGGGTTTGGGATTTTTTAAAATAAAATAAAAATCTTGTTTTTTAAAAATCCTCACCCCAGGATATGTTTATTGATTTTAGAGAGGAAGCGGGGGGGGGTGGAAGGGAGAAACATCGACTGGTTGCCTCCATAGGCACCCTGACCGGAGATCGAATCTGCAACCTTTTTGGTGCACGGGACGACGCTCCAACCATTGAGCAACCCAGCCAGGGCTGAAATAGAAGTCTGCTGAAGAGTTAGCCCTCATAGACTACCTTGGGTGACCGAGGGAGGGAAGAAGCTCACTGCTCCTGGGCACACCCCGGAACCTGAGAGCTGTGTGGGTGTGCAGGGGTGACCCCTAACGCCTGCCGCTAACGTTCTGCCGTGTGGGCGCTGGAGTCTGCGGGAGTCTGGTTACCCAGCTGTGAGTGGACGTGGGCAGAGACACCGTCCGCCCTTTGGTTTGCAAACACGTGCCTGAGGGGGAATAGCAAGGGCGCTGTCTCTCCCGGCTACGGCCACATGGGGCTTCTCTCTTTCCATGAGACTGTCAGTTCTCTAAGGAGCCCCCCGCCCCCCCCCCAACAGCCGCAAGCACAGTGCCCAACAGACAAGGCGGCTGGATGGGTTGTCTGCGCAATGATTGAGCCATAAAGGGCCATGTGGCCTGGTGGTCTCCCCCTTGTATGTGTGGGTACCTCTGGGGCCCTGGATGTTGCACTTACGAGTCGGCAATGCTTCCAAGCCCTGGCACGCGCACAGGTGATAGCATCTTTATGGCACACCATGGCAAACAGCGACCCAGTGCTCAGACTGCCCAGCACGGTCGCTCAAGGCCTGAAGCTATCAGCCAGGGGGCTCGGGCCACCCCAGACCCACCAGGCCACCCTGAGGAGCTGGCCAACTGGCAAGCCACTCACTCCTTTTTTATTTTTTAATATATTTGTATGATTTCAGAGAGGAAGAGAGAGGGAGAGAGAGAAACATCCACGATGAGAGAGAATCATGGATCGGCTGCCTCCTGCACGCCCCGCAACCTGGGCCTGTGCCCTTGATCGAAACAGAAACCGGAACCCTTCAGTCCACAGGCCGACGCTCTATCCACTGGGCCACACCGGCCAGGGCCAGCCACTCTGAGGAAGTGTTGGGTTAAGGCATGGCAGAGGCCAATCTGGCTCAGGAACTAGCAACTGAAAGGGAGAGAGGACGGGCTAAGGGGCAGCTGGGCTCCCTGGGGCCCGGCTGGGTGCGAGGGTGTGCCCAGGGCCGGGGGGCCACTCGGCCTGAGTGGTGGGCCGGCTCGGGCGCCCTGCCAGCTCAGGCTGGCCCTGGGCCAGGAAGTCTGACTGAACGCGGGCCAGCCCTGTTGGCCCACAGACTCTGTAAGCTGAACTGCTCGGCACTCCTTGGCCTCTTTGTTTTCACTTCCCCACAGCTCTCCCTTAGCGCTGAGGAATGTGCTTTGAAGGTTCCAGCATGTTTCGCCTCTGCTTCGGCAAACCAAGAGCAGAGGCTGGGCCCGGGCCAGATGGCTGCGGGGAGGGCACCTGTGATCACACCGCGAGCTCCCCAAGGGGCAGGTGGAATCTGGGGGGCACGGAGCGGGGAGCACCAGGCCGAGCGCTCTGCGCTGCGGGGAGGCTTCGTCTCCAGGCTCCAGCGCTGAGCCAGGGAGGATGGGTTTGTTTTGCCGAGGGAGGGAGGGAGGGAGGGAGGGAGGGCGGCAGTGTTCCCTCGCCTGCTCCCCCGGGGAGCCCGCATTTGTCGGGGAGCTCCGGGGACAAGCTCCGCTCTGCTATTTGTCCAGGCAACAGAGGGACTGCGGGGAGCGCCCGGCCAGACAAGCTGCCTCCTCCATTGGCATTACACTCGTTTCCCTGGCGGCCTTGGGAGCACTCAGGCCTCCGGGGAGGTGGCGCAAAGGACCCGGGCCCACATGGCCTCGTGCACCTCCACCCCTGCGAGAACAGGCTGCCGCCCAGGCCGCCCTCCTGCACACTGGCCAGGTGTGACTCAGTGGTTGAGCGTCAACCTATGAACCAGGGAGTCAGGGCACAGGCCCGGGTTGTGGGCTCGATCCCCAGTGTGGGACGTGCAGGAGGCAGCCGCTCCATGATTCTCTCATCATCGATGCTTCTCTCTCCCTTCTTCCCTGAAATCAATGAAAAAAAAATATTTTTTAAAATGCAAAATCCTCCCCCCTCCCCCGCAAGTGGTGGGCGTCCTTCCCTTCTCCAGCCCCTTGCCCACATCCTCGTGCCCTTCGTTATCAGGCACAGAAAAGTCTCCCCTACTCAGTCCTCGGGGGCACATAGCACGGTGGCCTCGTAGGCCCAGCACAGTGCTTGGCACTCAGCAAGCGCTTAATAAATGACTACACGCCAGGCCTCTTCAGTGCCCAAGAGCAGCCTGGATCTTTCTCTAACCAAACTTGCTTGCCTCCTCTGATCCATTACCCAAAGCAGGGAGCTCTGGGTTCTGGTCTTACTTTTGCCACCACGTGTCACCCTGTGTAAGTGTTCTCACCCTCTGCACCCATTTCCTTAGCTGCGCTAAGTGGGGGCTCAGCGAGAGCCCCGCCAGCCAGCCAACCAGACCTCCGTCCCCTCCTGTTCGCCGGCTGTCGCCTCATACTCAGGGCAGACCAGGACCTTCAGCGGCGTCAAGTCCCCCTGCTTCTCCACGCTCTGTTTAGCTTCACAACACATACCTGGGCCGTGGGCGCCGGCCGCATCTGCTCCTTTCTGTCCTCACAGCCATTTGTACAGCTGCAGCCCCCGCGTGTGACGGGGCCATGGCCCATGAGCAATAACTCCGATGCCACAAAGGCACCCGAGTCATTTTTCTGCGCCAGCATTGTCTGCTCGGAGCTCCGGGGGCCCTCCCTCCTGCCTGGTGGTGGCACAGGCCCTGTTTGGTTAAGTGTGGGCCATGGATTTCCCCCTAATTTCCATCTCTCCCTGATTTCAGCCCAGGAGCTAACCGCACTCCGGGCTCTGCTGAGGGGAAGCAGAAAGTGCCATCAGAGGCCCTTCCTCTCCCTCTGCGCAGGTAATGACCGGTTCCTCCCAGCTGCCTCTCAGCCTCCGTATATTTAGTGCACGTCGCCCTGGATAGAGTTTAATTAGGCACCAACGCAGCACCCAGGGGCAAGAAGCGAGGACCCCTCTCGGGCTGAGCCAATGGGCCCAGCCCCAGTGCAGGAGCCCGCAGCCAGCCTCCCCGGGCTGGTAAGTGATGGGCTGCCAGCAGGTAGGGGAGGTTGTCCATTCTCAGCTAATGATCGCCTTAGGCGCCAAGTGATGGGAAATCCAGGCGGGCTGGCGAGCTACAGGGCGCAGCCAGGGACAATTGTATGGACCAGTTTAACCCGGCTGGGGGAGGGCTGGCAGCAGGAATGCCGTGTGTGTGTGTGTGTGTGTGTGTGTGTGTGTGTGTGTGTGTACACTTCCTGGTCTCTTTGCTCTCCCCTCCCTGCTGCCTTTCCCTCATTCTTGTTCTCGCTTTCAGGTTTCTCTTCTGTTTCTAGCCCACGCAAGTTGAAATTAGAAAGGTCTTTGCATTCATTTATTTGTTTTTAATAAAGACAGTATTTTTAAGCGGCATATTTGCAGCAATTGAGTGTTCAACTAAACACCAAGCCAACTCAATGTGTTCGGGGGAAATGAAAAGTCAGTTTACAAGAAACATATAATTAACACGTTCTTTGACTTTCCCTAAGCCTTTGTCTGGCTGGGGACAAGACAGAGAAACCATAATCAACTTTAATAAAATGAAAGACGGTATGGAGGCAAAAGGGAGACGGAAAAGTTTGGAGTGGGAAACGACCCTCAAGAGGGCATTCTGAAGTTCCAATAAATACGTGAGAAAAGGAATCTTTTGTTGCCTTATTTTTCGTCAACAGCCATTTTCTCCCTCCAACTACAAAGGCTCCGGTTTGTCCTGTACCTGTTAACAAGGCCTGAAGCTGCGGCGGGCGGGGGAGGGGCGGGGGAGGGTGGGCCAGCACCAGCAGGAGATGCCTGGGAGTTTCCGGAGGCCGCTTTCCCCAGGCTAATGGAAATTACTATTGCACAGCACCGGAGCCTTCACGTGGCCTGACTTCCAATCAACTGTTCCCCCTCCTCACCCCTCGGAGAAAGTGAAATAAGACATTAGACTTTCAATAATCTCATACGGTGATGATCAATCAAAACCCAGAGGAGAAGGCCAATTTATAGAAATTGTATCTGCTTCACTGGGCGGCTGGAACCAGAGAGCTGAAAAGAACACGGTGCTCACCTTTGATGTGTGAAGTTGCCTAAAAAACACCCAACAAATGCCCCCAAAATATTGCCTATCCGCACGGGGGCTTTTCCGGGGGAGGGGTGCTCCCCAGAGGCCTGTGTCCGGCAGGGCACTGTAGGGACCCGCCTGGCCCAAAGGCGCACACACATATGTTTAGGCCACATCAAAACTATTTATTTTTATTATCCTTCGGCTATTTTAAGTTGGCCTTTCCATCTTTCTTGTTTGTTTTATCACCAATTAAGTTTATTTACTGAATTAACTTTTAATGGATCCTCTACTTTGTTCTTCAGAGTTGGCTTCTAGGACTTGGGCCTTTGTGCAGCTCTCACACACACACCCCCCATCCCACTCCGGAGGTGGAGGTGGAGGGCTCAGCGTCTCTGTTAACTCCTTGCCTGCTGGTGTCTTTTCTCTGTAGCTACTAATCACCTCCTTTTGATCATTGCCAAGTTCTCAGGTTGAAGGAAGGAGAAAGGACCTCTTGACCATTCTGGCTGGCTTTCCACATGAGCCTGAAAATGTCGACAAATTTGAAACATCTGCCGGGTTGCTTTGGTCTGATTGCTAAAATATGCCGACCTCCAGCCCCCTCCCCCCGCCCCTTTTAATCTGTTTCATATTCACAAATTAAGCATTTAGTCTGGGTAATAAATCAGAGCGGTTTACGAGACTCACACGAGACAAACAAGCCTCTGGAAGCGGAGTGCGCGGAGCTGCCAGGAGTCTGAAGCTCCACGCGCTCCATCGCGGCCGCCCCGGCGCGCCCCGACAAGCCGCCGGCACCCTCTCTTTGGCCGGTCCCCGAGCGGGCGGAACGGAGGGGTGCAGGGGAGCAGCCCGGACCTGGACAACCCCCCCCCCCCTCCCGCCTCACCTCCAACCTTCTGCGCGAACCCGCCTCGGCGCCCGGCCCGCCCCAGCTCTAGGCAACTCGGCGCCCCCGCCCCGCCAGGGAGGGGCTGCTGGCAAAGGAGACAGCCTCACCCGCACACACCCCAGTGATGGGCCCATTAAGCCTCTCCCGGCCGAGAGAGGGTGGGGCCCCCTCTCCCACCGCTGCCATCCAACTGGGCTCGGGCTTAAAGATCTCAGGCCCGCACCGGCCAGAGAAGCAACGATTCCCCTCCACATCCACCGTGTGACCTCCGCTAAGCCTAGGCACCAGCAACCCCCGCACCCCCATCTCTCCGCGCCCGCCTCCTCCCAGGTTTCGGGCCCCGGCAGCCGACAAAGCTTACTTTCAGATTCAAAAAGGGAGGGGGGAGGGCCTCTCCTTCGGAATTGATCCGAGGCCTTAAGAAAAGGCATGGCAAGGGGAGTAAAGGCCCAAA